CTCCTGAAACGAAATACCAGGTCTCAGGTTTGATTTTGGTGACATGTACCTACTGCAGTCTAAGTAACATCCAGGAGGCCGCCCCACCCACATCCCCAGACTGAAGGTAGAGGGGAGGTTGTTGTCAGTAAAGCGAAGTCTGGCCTCTCTCCAGGATGGAAAGAGACCCAGGCCACCGGCAAATGCACCCACGGCAGTCCACTGGAGGGCACATGCAGGTCCGCTACAGTGAGCACAGGCTCCGGTTTGATCTGAGAAATATCAAAGTTAGAACCAGAGAAAGGTCAACCGGAACAGTAAAGCGAAGTCTGGCCTCTCTCCAGGATGGAAAGAGACCCAGGCCACCGGCAAATGCACCCACGGCAGTCCACTGGAGGGCACATGCAGGTCCGCTACAGTGAGCACAGGCTCCGGTTTGATCTGAGAAATATCAAAGTTAGAACCAGAGAAAGGTCAACCGGAATGGAGAACAAGTCCTGCTTCCAAGAACACTGGCCAAATCCCCCAGGCTGGAAAGGTGTGGAGGCGTCTGAGGTCTGTCACAGCCTGGGGAGGAGTTAGAGTCCATTGCCCACGCCACGTCTGGCAGGCCTCGTGGGCAGCGGGGCTGCACTGAGGTCAGTGTGCCTTGGAGTCGGTGTGCGTGCCATGCTTTTACCTCCTGGCCACTTGGTCTTGAACCGATTGCTTGCTGTGTCTCAGCCTCAATCCAGTGAGGAAGCAGCAGTACCCACCGCACAGGCTTGTATTCAACAGCACACAGTGTTCGGGTTGACAAGAAGTGTTTAAAGAATGCTGTTGTCATGGATAATTACAAAAATAATCGTGGAGGTAATTTGTAGAAATGTTTAAATGGCCTGTGTGTGTTGTGCTAGAGGAGACGCAATATTTTTCCTCAGCCTTAGCTAATTCTCTCTGTCTCTCTGTCTCTCTCTCTCTCTCTCTCTGTCACACACACACACACAAATCCTTTCATTTCACAAGACTTAACCTCTCTCTGTCTCTCTCTCTCTCTCTGTCTCTCTCTCTCTCTCTCTCTGTCACACACACACACTCACAAATCCTTTCATTTCACAAGACTTAACTGTGAAGGAAGGGAGATAATGAGTGCGATTACAGGGGAAACGTGACGCCTTCTGCATACGCAGATCACATGACAAGTAAGAGGACTGCTTTAACACTTTGGTCGTCATAATCATCGCTAACGCCACACAGTGCCCTTGTGGGCCTCGGCTCCATCTTCTTCCCTGGAGCTGGTGTCTCCACAGGTCTCTAAGTTAGGTACTCTGTTAGGCCCACTGTGAAGACAAGGAAAGCAAAGTCCGGGAGTTGCCCTGTGGCAGGTCCCACAGCCAGTGGCAGGTCCGAGGTTCACATGCAGGACTCTCTTAACTTCTGCTGCTCTGCGCTCCGCACATGAGCCCAGCCCCTCTCCGTTGCTGTTGACGGGTGGCATACTTCGCTGGGTCCTGGAGTTCCTAGTCTCTGTACTTTTTCTCTGTGGTCATCTTCATAGAGTCAGACACTATGTGGTTCTGAACTACATCCAAGAAAGACGTAGGGAAAACGACCCTAAGCTGACCCTCCAGCCGTATCTAATGCTGTCTGTCAAGTATGGAAAGAGTCATGGGACCTCCAGTGTGCAGTTATTTACCGACCAGAGAGAGCAGACCTGTTTACTAGGACTGTGCTAAGGCCACTGCACTGTTGCTGGGGACTGAGAAAGAAATGCAGTGGGTGAGTGCAGTGACTATGGAAATGCAGGTGTGATTGATGACCCTGAAGACCTGAGTGTGAGCAGTGTAGGAAGCTTTTACAGCAGAGGCCTGCCACCAATACCAGCCGCCAGGCACCTCAGCCAGCTTTCCAGCCTCCAAGCAGACTGTGCTGCTACCATGGTTACACCAAAGTCAGCACCTGCTGACCCTGGAACCAGTAACAGGCTTTCTGATGGATGGAGTCATACTGTTTGTAGCAGAGTAGAACTGAGCGAAACCACACTAATTTGACAACCCAATCATTCAGTACCATGGAAGGGATGTTTTCACTGCTTCTGTGAACACAGACACTTCCTCCTTCCACCGTGGAACATAACTCCACACTTTTGCCATCTAAAAGCAAATTCCTTTGAAGATAGGCTTTCTTTATTGAAACTGTTTTAGTTTTTCAGGATGATTACATTGACCAGGCAAAGAACACTCCATGTCCCCTCTTCCCTGTTCCTGGTCCCCAGCATCCCACACTGGTTCCCTTCCCTGTCTCCTCGCGTTTCCCGTTTTATACAAGATCTCCAGCACTTTGCCCCTGCCCTCTGTTAATCTAAGCATGGGGCCAATTTGAGCACAGTTTGAAGGTGTCTAACGCTGCCCCTGGTGGTTTCAGATCCTGCTGATCGTCGCATCTGTGATTGGCATCATCGTCTACAGGCTGTCAGTGTTCATTGTATTTTCCTCAACCCTTCCCAAGAACCCCAATGGGACAGACCCAATTCAGAAGTACCTGACGCCACAGATGGCTACGTCCATCACCGCTTCCATCATCAGCTTCATCATCATCATGATCCTCAACACTATCTACGAGAAGGTGGCCATCATGATCACCAACTTTGGTGAGGTGCTGCCCAGCTTGGGCAGCTTCAGAGACATTTATAGAACCTAGAAAAGCACAGTACCCTTTAGCCATTTCGATTCCTGTAGGCTACAATTTTTAGGAAATTCCAAATGTTAACATCTTTTCGGTAGCCCATGTGGGGAACAAATTGTGTACATCTTTGTATTAGTGAAAGAAATAAAGCAAAGACGATCATGGTAATGTCCAAGCTCTGGGTAAATACATCAAGCTGAAGAATATTCTCAGTTACATTAGCTCCTATAGTCTAGTGCTGAAAGTAAATAGCCTCTTTATTGCACAAAGTGGAACAGGGTCATGGTTCCAGCAGCAAGTGTACTTTGTCTCAGAGAGGACGGCACTCACACTGCCACATGCTCTCCCTTTGCTCTTCGTATCAACGTAATTCTCATCGGCTCTGACTTCTGTAATAAGTGCTACTCCTTGCTGGCTCGCATCTCAGGCAGCTGCTTCGTGACCATGCAGGGCTTCCCACACCCAGCATGCATCTGGGTTGTTCTCTGAATGGACGGCCCAGTGGTCATCTAAAAGCAATCAGGCAGGCTGAGATTCCCAGCTAGGAGGAGGACCATTTGTGCTCCCCAGATGCTTCTAGCAAGTTTCGCCTGTTCCATTGTTCTCAACAAATCTACCTACAGCTGTTCAGGAAGACAATATCATTCATCAGGTAGTTCAAAGCTAGTTTCCTGAGGAACTGGGCATGGAGGTCAGTGGCAGAGCTTTTACCTGTCATGTATGAGGAGCCAAGTGTAACACTCAGTGCCACAAGAAAAAGAATTTTCACCCAGTTTTTAGACCTAACACAGGTCTTGTCAATTTGATTATATAGCATGTACAAATTTCAAAGGATAGTTAAAAAAATGTTTGTATCTATCTATGTGTATCTGCCATATATGTATACATATGTATGCACACACACATCTATATGTTTGCATACACACCCACATACATGTATTTATTTGCCATGGGGATAGTGTATTTATATGGAAAGAGAAATTAGAACAATGTGTAAACTTGGAATTAACACAGTGGCTATATTAAGGAATTGAAAACAGCTTAAATTGAAACAGTGTGAATTGTATTCCTTTGGCATGGTAACTCATGTATTGGAGACACAATTTCAGAATCTTGCTTTTCTTTGTTTTAACCACAGAACTCCCAAGGACGCAGACTGATTATGAAAACAGCCTGACCATGAAGATGTTTCTGTTCCAGTTTGTCAACTACTACTCTTCCTGTTTCTACATTGCTTTCTTCAAGGGCAAGTTCGTCGGTTATCCAGGAGACCCAGTGTATTGGCTGGGCAAGTACAGGAATGAGGAGGTGCGGACACAGAGTCCTATTACTCTGGATAGTGGCCTCATTGTATGTTTCTTAGATATTTGTAGCCTAGACAGAACAAACATCAGAGAAGTTAACGTGATGCCTACATTGCAAGTTCTACCTGTCTAAACTCTAAATGGTACTTTCTTCTTAACATTCCAGTGTGATCCAGGTGGCTGTCTCCTTGAACTGACGACCCAGCTGACAATAATCATGGGCGGAAAGGCAATCTGGAATAACGTACAAGAAGTATTACTTCCGTAAGTATTAGATAGTGCAGTCCTGGGTGTCAGGATGGGAGACAGGGCAGCCCAGGCCCTGAAATAATTTACCCACATAGCTGCATGTCTACCTCAAAAATAGCCTATAATCTGTTGAAATTAAAAGTTTCCAGACAAGAAGGGGTCCAACCAACAATTTAAATGTATCCAGTGTTTAATAATTATATAAGGGGCTAAGGAGGTGACTCGGTTGGTAAAATGCTTCCTGTGCATGAAGACCCGAGTTTGGATCCAGAACACCCATGTAAAAAGCCGAGTGCAGTGGCAGATCCCTGTAACCCCAGTGCTGGGGAGGTGGCCAGCCAGCATAGCTGAATGGGTGAACTCCAGATCCATTGAGAAACCTTGATTGAAAGATGAAAGTAATCCAGACACAGTCGGCACATGCCTTTAATCCCAGTACATAGGAGACAGAGGCAGATGAATCTCTCTCTGTGAGATCAAGACTAGCCTGGTCTACATAGTGAGTTCCAGGTCAACTGGGGCTATAGGAAGATCCTGTCTCCAAAAAAAGATTAAATCTTTTTTAAAAAGATTTAAAAGATTAAAATAAAAATAAGGTGAAGAGGAAGACACCTGAATGTTAACCCTTTCTCCACACACTCCCACACACGTGCATACACGTGAACACAAAATTAGGAACACATATAACACACAGACACACACACATGCAAATAATAGTAAGGCCTTCATTTTTATATTTAGCATAAACCCCCGCCTGCTATAGTTTTCCTGTGGTTTATACCTCTTAGGTTGTCACTGATGACTGACTAAGCCTGGGCCTTGGAGAAGGGCCTTTGTTAGAGTTATGAAATACATACTGCTGAAAATTCTCATTGCACTCCCATCCCTCCGCGATGCATCTCAGTCATTAATAGTGATTTTTTGAATGCTTAGTATGTGCCAGTCACTGCATTAAGTGCTGTATGCATTATGTATGTGTGTGTACATAAATATTACAGCTTAGTTTCCTAAGCCTTATTCGTATCTCCCTTTTGCTAATGAAGATCTGTGACTTGAGGAGGTTAAATGATGCACCAGAGGTCACATTGGCACTGAGAGGTTACTGTGGTTTCAACTCCAGGATCCCATGACTAAACGCAGAGGCTTTCAAGCACAGAGGCTTCCTGTGGTCCCTAAAGCACAGAGATGCCTAACATTTTAAGAGATAATTATCTGAAATGGTAATCATGGAGGTTTTTGCTTGTTGTTCCCTAGAAGATGAATGCAGCAGTATACAGCTGCGCTTGAGATATCAGTAAGCATCCCATTGTTCTTTTAAACTGAAGGAGATGAGGTCCATTGGTGGTCTAGCACCATCCATGTTTCCTGCTAATTTCGGGGAACTTGATATATTCTAGTACATTATTGCAAAGTTAATGGGTTGGAATAAGAAGTTTGATGTCAGTCCTAGAAGTCAGGGCTCACTGGGCTAACATCAAGGTACTGGCAGGCAGAGGGCCTTTCTGGAAGTTCTCTCTGATGCCTTGAGGCCACTCAGATCCCTGGCTCAGATTCTGTGTCAGCACCAGCAGCTTTCACACTGACCTCCTGTGCTTCTTCCCACTCTGCCCTACATCATGCTGGATGGTCTCACTGGCCTAATTCCACCTGACCCGATACACTGTACGTGCTCTGGAGGATGGGGAGGGAACATCTTTGGGGGACGCTCTTTCAAAGTAGTTACAGCTTTGCTTTGTGAAGCTTGTGATCTTCCTTTTCTTCACCCCCTCTCTAGGTTCTTCCCTATCCCATGTCAACAGAAATGGCCACTCCTCATTGTCCCCCCGAGCCACTCAAGCAACTTGCATTTTGAAATAGAAGCTCCCTTTATAAAGTCACTTATCCTAATAAGCAACCCCGCTTCAAACTTCTGACCTGTGGTAGGCTGCAGCTGTCTGCATTCTGCCCTGCCCGTCCCTACCACATCTCTTCTCTTTCTCTACCCCTCCTTCCCTGAACCTTTCTCTCCTGCATTGCTGTGTATTTGTTCATTCCTTGTGAAGCTGACTGAGTTTCAGTGCATCCTTCCAGATTTTCACTGGGGCTTCTTCCTCCCTCTTCAGCCTGGACTGTCAAGGTCCTCCCCACCCCTTCCCCATCCCAGAAGAAGGTTCTGGCTTTAGCCAAGTGATAACTTTTTAGTCGTACTGTACAGAAAACAGCCCTGACATTCATCGAGTTCATATCCTATCTTTCCAGATAAGTAGAAGTGGGTCAAGTATAAATTTTGCTGTTTGTTACAGTATGAAAATAAATATATAAAAGAGAAGAATCTTAACTCATTTAAAAATTTTTATTTGTTGTATTATGCATATAAGTGCTTTGCCTGCATATATATACATATATATATATATATAGAGAGAGAGAGAGAGAGAGAGAGAGAGAGAGAGAGAGAGAGA